CTTCAGTGATCCGTTCGACACCTCGTGATCACACAGGCTGATATGTTCTTCCATGTGGGCTCTGTTGCTTCTGAGCTAGATGGCCGCTTGTTTACCTTCAAGCTTTTAAGACCCCAGACACCCTATCTTTTGATAGCCAGGCACCATCAGCTTTCCTGATCACATTTGCTTATGCACCCATTTTGTCTTCAGCGATGGTGTCGGGAAGGTGAGCATCAGAGTGCCGGATTATTAAAACAAAGTGTTCTTCCATTGAGACAGGGCTTGAGCAGAGACACAAAGTCCGTCCACACCCTCAGTCAGTGTATTGCCATATAAATATATGTACATAGACTAATGCCTCTTTTTATGGATTATTATTTGTATAAGGGTCTACCTATGTTTATACCTCTATCCATGGCTTTGCTTCCCAGATCTTTCCTGTTTGCTTTTACCTTCCTCCTGTCCCATCATAACGCTCTCCCTTCTTCCGCCTCTTAGTATTTCCTCTCAGCTAGATTGCTGTGACTCCAACACCCCCAGGATCTCTGTGCCCTTATCGTTGTTGATTTTAATTCCTACTTGTTCCCCTGCATTTGATCACCGCTCCCTTTCCCCGCCCCACCCCACCCAAGTCCCTCAGGAAAGTCCCGGTCTTGCTTCCCATGCCTATCTTATATCTGAAGGCAAGACAGCAATAACAGACAAACAAAAAGACCAAAAAGAGAAAAAACAAGGAGGGTGGGGAACCTAGCATGACCCCTGCCCCCCCCCCAAAAGCCAACACAACAAAACACTAAAAACAAAAAAGCACACATAATTCCAGGTCTGTCCACTGACCTTTATGACTAGATCCCCACTGGTGGGGGTGGGGTGGAGTATGCTGTGTTCTAGGAACTCCTCCTCCTAGCCTGACGTTTATTTTGGGGGTTCCTCCGGGTTTTTGTGGCATTGCTTTGCTCCCGTTGCTGATCTGTTATGTTCCCTTCTTGGTTCATTCTTCTGTGGGGTGGTCAGACTGGACTCAATCCCACCGTGTGACCCCAGCATTGTCCTCTGTCGTGGTATGCTCGGCGAGGGGACATCGTGTGTTCAGCTGTTGGCCTGCATTCCTCTCTGTGCCTTAGCAGCTTGCTGTAGGCCCGTCATCCTCAGGGCTTGGTGACCAGTATAGGGTGCCCTTGCGCTCTTTCTTGGTTTGCTTCAGTGTGAGTGTGGCAGGCCACCCCTCTCCCTAACCTGTAGGTTTCGTGTTGTCCTATGTAGCACATACTTCTGGGGGCTGGGCTGGGAGTGGGGGTGTCAGTTTGACTCTGATTGAGGCTGGCCCTGTACCTCTCTGTTCATGCACTGCTCCATCTGGTTTGGAGCACTTGGTCAGATGCTTTTTAAATATGCGAAGAGATGGACCCACGTTTCCTTGTTCTGATCTTGTGGTGTATTCCTTTGATTGCTTCTCTGCTATTGGATCACCCTGCCATTGCTGGAGCCCCACTTGGTCATGGTGTGGAGAGAGCTCTTATTATGCTGTTGGATGGGTGGTCCCTTTTGATTTTACGTGTTTTCAACTCCTCTGCAGCATCCCACCGTGTTTCCTGTTTTCCAGGGTGGAGACCAGTATGGTTGTATCTCTTTTTCCTTCTCTCAGGCCTTCTCGTGTGTTTGTGCCCTGCCATCCCTCCCCCACTGCACTCCCTTCCAGATGCTCTGCAAGCTCCTTCCCCCAAGCCCTGCCTCTCAGCTAAACCTGCCTCAGCTGAACCTGCTCCTTGGCCCGAGCTTGTGGTTTCTGTGTAGTACTGGCTGGTCTGCTCTCAGGACCTCGTCAGATCCTGTTGGCACTGAAATCAATGTGGAAACTCATACTGTGTGCCAGCTACTGTGCTAATACAATTGATGTACATCTCCCTCCAGTCCCACCCTTATTAGGATTTTTAACTCTATGACTGGACACATACACAAGCCACCCATGTACAATACAGTGACCTTGATTATATTCTTCAAAGCATGCAGCCATTCTCAGCCGGCGTTTCCAAAGTGCCCTTCCCTCTCTGACGTAGGCTGCCCCCGTGCGTCTTGTGTTCATTGGTTCGCCCCACATGGTTTGGGACAGCACAGTGCACAGGGCAGTCTTGTCCCTACTGCACACTGGAGGAAATCGAGCTTCACGAGCCCAGCACCACAGAGCTTGTCGTCAGTGGGGTCAGGATTCAAGTCTGGGTCAGCCTGACCCTGTGGCTCAGTCCGTTCAGTGGTACAATAAGATTATTGCCGGCTCGCCGTGACTCACCGCCTCTGCCTGTGTTCCGTGTGACATTATGAATGGAGATACCAGGTCTGGTGAGACAGCAACCTGAAGGCCTGAGTGGAGGGTGATAGGAACTTGGCATGAAAGGTGCATGTGTGTGCACATGCGTGTGTGCACGTTCCCACATACATACGTGCGTGCATGCAGACGCCCACACGGGGGGGGGGGGGGGGGGGGGGGGGGGGGGGGGGGCTGTTCCTGCATTCCTGAAGCCTACCCCCCTGCCTGTGAAAAGCCTGCCTTAAGAAACAAACCTGATACTCAGCTTTTGCAGGGCTTTTCTGGAAAAGCTGCCAAACTGGGGTGTGTGTTTGTTTTCCCCACAACTCCGATAGCCTTTTGATCTGGCTTCTGGCTTTATCTGCCAACGTGTGAAGAACAGAGGCCGCCCTCACCGTGTGTTTGGCCAGGGCGCACTCATTAACTGCATGCAGAGCTCTCAGGGCCCCGGGGGCTGAGCCACGTGGCAGCCCTCCATCCGCCGGTCTTGCAGTGCTGGGAAGCATTTCCTCCTGGGGCGCAGGCAGTTAGGGGACCTGGCCCACCAAGGACCGCCCAGACTTTGTGTGTTCACCAGGGACGGGCTGGGGCACAGCATCCACCCCTGACCCTGGAACCCAGGCTGCCCGGCAGCTTGTTTGCAGGCTGCTCGGACAGATTTATGTCACCTGGTGTCAGTTGTGGCCCCGACACCGGCACTCTTCGCCCCCTCCCGGCGCCTGCCCTTGTGGGTCTATGTGAAGCCCCCCACTCTGTCTTATTCAGAGTGGCTCCCCCGCAGGGAAAGGCTCTCTCACCCCACGCTGCAGCCCGTTCCCTGAGAAGGGGCTGCGAGGAGCACAGGGGCTGCCCCAGCGCCCTTAGCTGCGGTGCTATTCTGGGTCGAGGAGGGGTGTTGGGTAGACAGTGGGCACTCTGTGTGATTTAAGATGACCTCTAGAGGGAGGGACCTTTAGAGGGATGCTTCTGTTCCCTCTCTTGTACTTTACTCCTTCCCAGGGAGCGCAGGCTCAGAGAGGTCAGAGGCAGAGCCAGGGCCCCAGTCCCTTAGGCGAACAGTCTCTCATCCGTGTGTAAAACTGACCGAGAGCAAGAAGGTAGATGATGGTGAGCTTGGTTGGCCTGGGCTTCTCCACAGCCCTCCAGCCCCCAGCTTGCGCACGGTGGCATTCTTACCTTTCACCAGAGGTCGGTCTGTGCTTGCGGTGAACAGGAATAATTACCCTCACCTAGACTCTGACACTGACACTGACACACACACACACACACACACACACACACACCCTTTGTGGATGGGACATGGGAACAGAGAGGTTTGCACATCACGCATTAGGTGCCTGGACTTTGGAGCGCAGGTGAGTGCAGGGATCGAAGGAGGCTACTGTCAGGTAAGGAAAGAAGAACGACTCCTAGTGGCCTGCCCAGGACCTCAGGGTCAAAGCACCACTTCCTGTTACACGGAGCTCACTGGGACTGTGCTGCTTTGTTCCTTTGCGTTCCTCGCACCCAAGTCTCCCGTGGTTAAATATTGATGTTGGTCCCAGCTGGCAGTTCCTTTTATTTCAGGGGACATTCTGTTGTCGCTGGCCACATCTGACTGCATTCAGAGGCAAACACCCCAACCCCACCCCCCAAAGCTGCCGTTGACCTTTGCTGGGTCAGACTCCCTTGGGAGTGCAGGTGGAGCTGCGCACGGCCAGCCTGCTTTCTCTGGAAGGTCCAGCATGCACTGGTCCATCCACCATTTCCCTGACGCCTGTTTTCCCTTCTCTTCCAGTCCTGAGGGACATCAGTGAACGAGGGAGAGACCTGGAGCAGATTTTATCTCAGTACATCACGTTTGTCAAGCCTGCCTTTGAGGAATTCTGCCTGCCAGTGAGTTGTGCTCTTGGTTTGTCTTGGTCACAGGTAGAACTTAAAAATTCATGACACAAGCATGTGTCCCCAGAAGAGGCAGCCCATGGCACTTGGTCTGCTCTGTTCCCTAGACGCTCTGTTCTGACCCAGTATTACTCGGGGTTATCCAGATCCCAGTCCAGGCCTCCCCTTCTTGCTGGGTGGAGTCGTGGTGTACTGAGGACACGCCTCAGCCATTCCGCGCTTTCCAGAGGTCTATGGTGGCCGGAGAGTCGGTCCAGGGAGAGCTCTGCCCCAGGATAGGCCATTTCTGTGTCTTCTGACACTACAGGGGCTGCTGTGGCCCAGGTATAACTTCCCTGGGGGAAGAGCTTGTCACGTCCTCCCGGCTCCCCATCATCCTTGCTGCAGCTGGGAATTCTACTGTGAGGGGATTTTCAGGGAAGGAAGGGTAGAAATGGGGAGATGCTCAACTTTTAGCAAATCAGCCATCAGTCTAGGAAACACCCCTCCGTTTCTTGGGGGGAAGACAGAAAGGTGAATGGTGAGGAGGGTCATCAGAGACAAGTGGGTGGGTAGCCTAGTTTTGGAAGGAGACATATTTCACCCAGGAGAATCCTGCAGTTGTGTCATGTGAGTTTTTTCCCGTTTGGCCAAACCACAGTCTACCTTAGGGTAATGTATAATTACCCTCAGAGAGGGAGAGGTGGAGACTTCTACCCAGTCTCAGGTCACCATCTCTTGGGAGCTGGGTGTCTGACGGCATTGACTGAATTTAGAGGGAAGCTTTCTCTGTGTATCCTAAAATCACACGGTCTTCTTTCCTAGAAAAATATGGCCCCTCCACCGCCCATGACATTTCTTTTATCCTGTTCGTAGGTTTTGCTTTAAACCAGCCATGACTTTTGTTTCAGACCAGGGACTTGGGGGCGGTGGGCTTTGTCTACCTGAGGGCCCTGTTCTTCCTCCTGGGGAGGACTTCTGAAGGCGGGGCCAAGAAGCCTGAAACTCTTGTGTACACACCTGGCCAAGGACCTCTCCTGCCTTTAATAATAAAAGCCAAAGTTAAGCTGACGGTTGAGCACAAATTATGGTTAAAGCCCAGTTCTCTGGTGCTTAGCTCAGTCGTAATGAAACTTAACCTTCTGGACCATTGTCTGGGCTGTGCCTCCTTAACACCTCCCACTGCTCAGCTCAGGAACACCCACTTCCTTCCCCATCTGACCTTGGAAGGTGTCTGATTGGCGTCCTACGAGGGTGTCCATTCTTTATCTTACTCACGGCACACCGGTACCTGTGGTTGGTCCGCAGAAGCCCAGTGCCTCGGTTTTACCTTTGGCGTTTTCTTTTTCAGTAGCTCAGGAGCAAAACCAACGGAACTGGTCACCATAGGGACTATCTTTCGGGGGTCCCCCTGGTGCTATGAATGATTAGGATTACCACCCCCCCAACTGTTGTGGTGAAATACGCGTTACGCAAAGGGTGCCCATCTAGCTGGCACAGTTCAGCGTACACCCTTTCCCCGCTGTGGATTTTCCGAATTTATCTTTTCCCTGGTGATAAAGAGGCCAGCGCCTGTTTGGTTTCAACGACCACATTTTCTCTGAAAGGCTGATTTCGTGTCATTTAGGGAAAGTAGATAACTGTCCACACTAGACCGAACTGTAAATGGGCTTTGAATGCAGCAGTGAAAGGAAGACCCGGTTCTTTTTCTCGGGTTTTCCTCACCCCACCTCCTTTCTCACACCCACATCTCAGCTACGGGAAGCAGCTTCATTGGGTCCCCTGAACTTCCACACGCCCTCACCAGCAAGTTGTAAGCAGTCTTACAGTCAAAGCCTTAAGCCATCTCCCTCTGGGGACAGAATAGGAAGGCTGCACCCCCCCCCCCACATTTCCACAGTGAGGGGTGGGGGGCCCAATGTATCCCACTTAACTCCTATTCATATGTTGTAAACCTCTTTTCCTCGCAGACAAAGCAATACGCGGATGTGATTATTCCTAGAGGTGCGGACAATCTCGGTGAGTGTGGAGTCCCTTAAGCCTGTGGGCGAGGGCGGGACGTCTGCCCCGTGTCTCTCATAGTTGGAGCGGGATGTGGGGCCACAGGAGCCCTCAGTGCTTCTCAGGAGGGGACCTTGACATCATGTGTTCATCGTTGCCGTGGTTGTAACCCGGGTGCCTTTCCTAGGAGTGTAATTCATGCTAACATGCGGGCCCTACCGGCTGTCTCCTCTGCAGGAAAGAAGCTTCCTTGGGCCAGCTCTGCTTGGTGTGAATCCCGTAGATTAGGTTCCTAATGACCCATGTGATGGAAGAGCTGCCCACCGGGGTTTTGTGAGCTTTAAGGGAGCAGACCACTGGGTTTTTGACCAGCCTCACCTTAAAGGCAACCTCACAGTTAGCTACCCAGCTCTAAGCTGCTGGGCCACCCGGGCTCTGTCTTGGAGTAGGACACTGGTGGGTTCCTTAGTGGGGGGCGAGGTTCGGGGAGAATCTGATAGTTAATCGATGTTTTCAGAACCGTGGCTGCTGGTTAATCTTGAGGGTTTTGCTGATTGCTTTGCCTGTGTTGATGCGTCTGGTAAGGAGCCCATGCATGGAGGGCTTGCTATTTGCTAGGCGTTTTATCTATTCCTCGAGGAAGAGGTGCTCCCAAAGGCCAGCAGTTTGAAACCACCAGCCACTCAGAAGGGAGAAAGACAGGGTTTTCTACTCCTGGGCAGTTACAGTCTGGGAAACTCACAGGGGGCAGTTCTACCCAGGCTTATGGAGCCACCGTGAGTCAGCATGGCCTCCGGGGAAGTGAGTTTGGTTTGGAGAGGGTTGGCATGAGCCTTGGGGCATTGAGTTAAGTGGGCACCGCTAACTAGCATGGGAGTTGGTATAAGGGGCTCAAGCATTGGGCTGCTAACCACAAAGTCGGCAATTCAAACCCACCCCCCTCCGGGCAGGATGCAACTGTGCTATTATAACGGTTGGCCAACTCTGGACCCCTAAGGAGCAGCTCTGCCCCGCCCTCTAGGGTTGCTATATTAGACGTGACTGGTGCCAGCGTGTTCCGTTTATCTTGTTAGGGAGGCTGAGCGACGCATCCAGGGTCAAGCCCTTAAGTGCAGAATGAATGGTCTGGGGGAGCCCTCCGACCTAAGCCGATGCCCCTGCTCACAGCCCACACAGGTGCCCCAAGTCCCTAACGCTCTGCCGGTCTCTGCCCTCCACAGTGGCCATCAACCTCATCGTGCAGCACATCCAGGACATCCTGAACGGTGGGCTTTGCAAACGGCAGACCAACGGCTGTCTGAACGGCTACACGCCCTCCCGCAAGAGGCAGGCTTCAGAGTCCAGCAGCCGGCCACACTGACCCCGCCCCTTGCGGCTGGCCTTGGGGGGGCCCCCTGGACTGTACATACCGTTGCCTATGGCGTTGCTGTATTTAAGAAAACATCATGGAGATGAAATGCCTCGGTTGTTTTTTGTTTGTTTGTTTTCTCCCCCCTTTTGTACTTTGGAACGGCAAAATGAAACAGAACTTGATCCCCGAGCTTACAGGACAAGCTGTGCCAACTACTGGGAATGCCTGATTAAGAATCCAACGTGTAACCAGTTATAAATACATACATATATATATTATATATATAAAAGGATCTATTTTTGTGTACGTGTACAAATAATGTAAAGCTGTTTGCTCTAAGTATTTTGCTGGAGGGCCGGGGCTAGAGGGTCACTGAGGTGGAACTGCCAGGCGGGATTGGTGTCCAGGAGCCCTGGCACAGGACAGCTCCCACGGGCTTGACAGCCCCGAATGGCCTCACTGTCAGATGCTAGACCTTAAGGAGTGTCAATGAGAAAGAACCTGTCCTTTTTTGAATTGAAATTAGATAAGACCTCAACTCAAAAACCAAACTCAGGGAAGAGGCCGCCCTAGGAAAGCAGGCCTGGTGCATTTTCTCCCTGCCCAGTTGCCCTCTGTCTGCTTCCTGGCTGGCTCTGGGACCCCTGCCTTCCTTTTCCATTCCTCAGTCTCTCTAAGAAGCCGGAGCTGCCACCGTGTCCTGCCCTGCAGGGACTTAACATCAGGTCCAGGTAGAAGCAGGGAGGGACGCTCGACTGCTGACAGGAAGGTCGGTGGTTCAAGCCACCAGCCACACACTAGTCTGCTGTACAGATGGACAGCCTCTACCCTGTCCTACAGGGGCAGTGCAATGGCATTGGGTTTGGTTAGGTTGTTTGCTTGTTGTTTTTGGTCATGCCTAAAGTAACTCTGGTTTCCTGTGCCTGGCAAGAAAATATCAGATCCTCTTCCCTGGGGTCCCCATCTTGCTGAATGCTTGTGGCCCCATGGAGCCTGGACTTTGGCTATGGACTCTGGCCAGCCTTCCCCAGCAAGGTCTGCCTGCTTAGAGGGAGACCTGGGGATTTGCAGTGAGAGAGGCCCTCGGGCCCCTTTGATGGGGCTGGCCCCCCACAGCAGCACCAGCAGGATGGTGCACCTACACTGCTGAGCGATGAGAGCGGGGAGGGGCCAGCGGAGATAAAGATGGCGTTTCAGATGGAAGATGTTTGGGGCAGGGAAATCCCAACTTCCCAGGCCTTTATCCGGGTGGTAACCTCTGCCAGCAATGCCGATTTCTGATGGACTCTTGGGCTGGTGTGTGACCGACACTGAGCCCAGCCCGTGTCAGGAGGGCCTTGTCTGCAGAGGACCTTCCTGGTGCCCGGGAGGAAGTGTCCTCAGTTATTCCATTGTGGCTGTCACTCCCTAGGGCATCTTGGGGACCGACCCCCCACCCCTCGCTGGGTTGTCCCTGGAATCTGTTTGAGCCGCACAAGCAAGTCTGTTGCCATTACCACCCCATCATCTAGTTTTCCCAGCTTCAGCAGCAGCATCTCATTGGGGCCCCTTTTCTGGTCTCACTCGGGCCCTACATCTGTCTCGCTGGTTTTTGCAAGCAGTCACACCCAACCCCGGGCAGGAGCGCTGGGGAGACTGCTCTAGGCTCTGGAGGGCCCACCTGCTGGCAGCGGCGGCCAGTTTGGAGTAAATGGAGGCTCCCAAGGTGCTCGCTCACGGGGTTGCACACGCTATGGACTGCTGTCCGTAGTCTTGCCTCGTAGAGTTTTGAGTCAAAGGTAGATGGCGGGCCCAGGTCAGGATCCTGAGGACAGGGGTACCCTGTTTGTACCCGGGTGAAACCTGCCTCTGTCTGTGAGAGCCTTGACCTTTCTGTGGGTGGCAGGCTCAACTGTACTTGAAGCTCCCAGGTGCCAAACCACTTAGTGCCTTGGCTCTCTATCCCACTGCCTTGTAAGACGGATTCTTCTCATCTCCGAGCCTTTACTCACATAGTTGCTTCCTCATCCACCTGTGGTGTTGGGACCAAGCCTTCGTTCGTCTCTTGAGTAGGCCACTCCCGGGGTGGACACTGCTTTGAGGCTGCCCTGGCCCATGTAGAACAGTCCCCCACACCGTGATGGTTCGGCTTAGGACTCTGGGCAGTATTTGTGCCGCGTGACGGGCAGGACTGTGGATGGAGGGTTTCCCCAGCTCTGTGACACGCTGTGTGGGAGGAGCGGGGACCGGGAGGCTCTGCCCCAGCATTTAGTCAGGGATTCTGAGCTTTCTGCGCGAGAAATCGTAGGCTTCTTGAGTATCTTAACCATCGGATTTCTGATTTCACTGGAGGGTCGGGGAACATGGTGGTTAGAGAGACCCTTTTGGCCATCAGCTCATCTTCATTGTTCAAGGAGGCCTAGAGGCGCAGGCTGCGGCCAGCGTGGCAGACCTGTGCACGGAGTGCCTTGGCTGCAGCCCACCCAGCGGTGCTTCTCCCTCCCTGCCCGCACACTGTCCACAGACCAGCTGCCAAGGAAAGCAGCGTCTGGCCGAGCCTACAGTCCTTCACTGGGTGAAGCCTCTCACCCGGGCAGCGTGAGACCCGTGTGAGCAGAGGTGGGAGCCTGTGTAAGACGGTCAGGCCTTGGAAGGGGCGCTGATTACAGAGTGGGAGAGGGTGGCAGGAGGCAGCGAGTCAGCGGTGATCTCCACTTCACTTTTGCCCAGAACTAACCTAATTACCTCTGCTCGTTTCCTCTTTGGCGTGGCCGGGTGAACGTTGGCATCCTGCCTCGCTTGGGCCTGGGGCCGAATATTTGTCACCTGATCCAGGATGGGTTCCCAGTCTCTCACTAGGTCAGGCTGGAGGCTTGCATGCTGCTCTGGGTGGTCAGGAAGCAGGAGAGGCCCAAGCCCGATCGGTCTGTTACTTTCCTGGATCTGTGGGCAGCTTCGTGGGCAGCAATCTTGGCCTGTGTTAACGGGCCAGGGCGAGGGGAGGGAGACATCTTTCCCTGTGCTCCAGTAATGCCCAGGGCAAGGAACAGGGCTGGGCTTGGTGTGGAGACCAGTGTAAGTTTGGCTCCCGGGGTGTTAAAGCACTTGGCTGCTCACTGCAAGGCTGGCAGTTTGAATCCACCCAGAGAGACCTTGGAGGAATGGTGTGGCTAGTGATGTTGACTTCAGGAAGATCGGCCCCGGGAACCCCTGGAGCCCATTCCTTTATACCTGGAGTCACCAGGAGTCAGAAGTGAGTTGAGAGCACCTGGTTCCTTGGTTTTCTCCTTGGAGTGGAGGTCCGGGTCATGGAAGGGCTTCTGGGAAGAAATTGTGCGTTCTCTGCCAGCCTTGTCTTGGACACGTTTCTCAGGGTGGGGTGGGGAAATAATCCTCGTGTCTGGTCGAAAGGGAGGCCGCGCTTTGGGGCGGGCTGGCGGGGCTAGATCAAGAGCTCAAAGGCTCTCCGTTTGTCTGTGCGCCATCCGCAGCGCTCCCTGGTGCTGGTGCCAAGGCCGGCTCCTCTGTCACTGAGAGGTGGTTGGTGCCTTGCCAATCCTGTCTCGGGAGCAGGGCGAGCTGCTAAATACTTTCTATTAAGATTCCCTCAAGAGGCTTGCGTTACAAACAACACTCCCACCCCCCACTTTTTGTGTGTGCGGTTTGCTTTGTTTTTTTTCCTTTACTGCTCTTGCCTTTATTGTTAGTAGTTAACGAAAATGGCCGCCAATTATCTGTACTTTCCTGTAAATAAAGACTGAAGGAGAAGATCCGACTCTGGCCTTGTTTCTCTTCTGTGTGGTGCCTGGTCAGGCGGCTGGCTGAGGAACGAAGCAGTCGGGGGAGCCGTGTGCTCTGGGGTGGAAGCATTTACACAGCTTGAGGTCTGTCTGCCCCCCAATCCTGGGGTGCAGGTAGGTGTACCTGCCATCCCCCAATTTAAGCATTCATTAAACTGCATGCTGTGCCAAGAATTGTGGGAGCTAGGTCACACGTGATTGGGGATTTCTGGAAGACTAGCTGTTGTGCTCTGTTTTGAAGTGTTCTAGAACCGAGGGCCAGAGCGTTCTTGGGAAGGACAAATGGGTAAGGGGGGCAGCTGAAAACCACAAGGCTATAGGTTTGAGTCCACCCAGAGGTATCTCAAAAAAGAGACCAAGGCGTCTCCTTTGAAAACCAACCATGGAGAGTCCTATGGAGGCAACATGCGAACGGGAACCCACCGGGCAGCTGGGATTAGTTGTCTCCGAGGGTGGACGTCATGAACTACCATCACCCAGCAGGAAGTCAGAGTGAGGGCCCTGGTGCTGTCCTGCGGACATGCTGCTTCGCCAGGAGCCACGTTGAAATTCCCTTCCCCTCCTGCCCCTTTGTGGTGAGGAGGCACAAGCGGCAGGCCAGCCTGCCAGACGGGCCCACCATTTGTGACATCCTCCTGGGCCAGCCTGCTGTTCCCCCACTACCGCGAGAAGCCTGTGCTGACTCCACCAGCCACAGCTGCTGGTCTCAGGGCTGCCCAAAGGAGTCCCCACAGGATCTGCTGGGTGTTGGGCAAGCCGGTTCTCTGGTTTGACCCCCTGCTGAGAATTTGTATTTCCAACTCAGATACATTGGATCAGAGACTCTTGATAAAATACAGATGCTGATTCAATGTTTCTGCCCCCCCCCGCCCAAAAAAAAACACCCCAAAAAACCACTTGGGGTCACGTGGATTCTGACTCATCGCAAGCCCTATTGGACAGAGTAGATCTGCCCTTGTGGGTTTCTGGGATGACATCTTTTTCTTTTTTGGGGCCTTTTTTAATTTTATGAATTATATATAATCATTTTATTGGGGGCTCGTACAACTCATCACAATCCATACATCCATCCATTGTGTCAAGCACATTTGTACACTTGTTGCCCTCATCATCCTCAAACATTTGCTTTCTACTTGAGCCCTTGGTATCAGCTCCACGTTTTTTTTCCCTCCCTCCATGCTCCCCCCTCCCCCATGAACCCTTGATAATTTATAAATTATTATTATTTTGTCATATCTTAGACCATTTGTCTCCCTTCACCCACTTCTCCGCTGTCCGTCCCCCAGGGAGGAGGTTATATGTAGATCCTAGTAATCTGTTCCCCCTTTCTCCCTCACCTTCTCTCCACCCTCCCCCTTTAAGGGGCAGAAAGCTCCTTTCTCCTGAGAAGCTGCTGGTGGTTTCAAACTGCTGACCTTGCAGTTAACCCATTGCATGATCCGTGATGTCACCAAGGGGAAATGCAAATTAGCAGCAGGAAGTTGAGCTGGAAGGAACCTGTTTGGAGCCCATCCTGAAGGGTAGGGAGAGGTGGGCGGGACGCTCTGCTGTGAGATAGGTTTCTAGTATCTGGTGCTGAAGGATGTTTAGGAATCTCTTGAAGCAGAGGGGTTTTCTCCCCTAAAACACAGAATGAAGTAAACTCACTAGATCTTGAGGCATGTCTGTGGTCATTGTCAAAGGAGGCAGACATCTGACCTCTGACTTCCCTGTCCCATTAGGCAGGGGTCAGACAAACCTATATGGCCTGTGCTCTTCACCTATTCTGACACCCACCAGCCTTTCTACACTACCCACAACTACTCAGGGTTCCAGAAGTCCTGGTAATAGAAACACAGAACTGTCATACTCTGAGTTTAGGAGAGGCGTTATTAAGGAAGGTAACAGGTCACCTAAGTCAGGATCAGCAAACAGTAAGGGTGCTCATTGTTCCACAGCAACAAGTCTCTCTGGGACAGGGGGAGGAAAAGGTGCCCCACAGTCTTGATGCCGCTCCGCTGAGTTCCTGTGCCCAATGTCTGGTGCATTTAGTCTCCACAGTCTCTGCCACCTCACATGAGACCTCGGATGTTGGTCCTTCCCGATGGTCCTGTCACCTTTCCCTGTGTCCCAAGTGCACGCACTAGGGGGCGGCTTTGATAGAGGCCTGCTTGTCCTTTAGCTTTAGGCGTGGTTGCCCAGACACCAAGGAAAATGCAGGATGTTGTCCTAAGTCCCACCCTCAGGGAGGCACGCAGATGCCTCCAAGTCGTACAACAGTCTGTATCGCGGAGAAGGCCCTCAGGATGGGACCTCGGCCACAGGCGCGTCCAATCCACCATTTCCGTGGATCACGGGAGGCATCATGGCTTAGAGGGCCATGTTAACGGGCCGTATCTCCATGCCCATTCATTTGCTTACAAATATGTTCCAACACACCACGAAATAAGTGAATGAACTAAGCATGAAATAAGTGAATACTTTTGAGCTAGGATGAAGCCCAGGCATACTTTATGTTTTTATTGTTATGAAAAATACCACCTCTGAATTTAATATGTTTCAGGCCTACAGTTTAGTGATTGATTGTGTTCACCATGGTGCGCAATCCCCCCTCTCCCCTGCCATGGTCGCCCCATTTCCCATCTCTGTAGACAACACTCACTAATTAAAAACTTCCCCTGTCCCCTTCGCTTTGTCCCCATTCTTTGCTGATGAACTTTACTCTGTACACACTTGCCCACTGCTGTTTCGTTTAAATGAGAACACAGTGTTTGTCCTTTCGTGACTTCAGTGAGCATAAGCTTTCCACCGATCGTGGTCCGCAGCGTGGGCCAGGGCTTCACTTCGCTATGGCTGAGAAGCCTTCCTTTGCGTTTGTGCACTGCCGTCTGTCCAGCTCTCTGTCCGTGGACGGGAAGCCTGCCCTTGGCTAGTGTGCGTAGTCCTGCCGTGTCCGTGTCTGCTTACGCTGGTGCTGTCGGCTCTCGGGTAAATACACTGACACTGGGGTTGTCAAACTCATTCGTTCCAAATTCATGTTCGAGCACCAAGAAGCTCAAAACTGACCATATTTCCCCAGAAGGATTAATGGAAATTGGCTGGAGGGAGCTGACATCAAGGAGCTTGAGAAGGAAAAGAATGTTTTGAAACTGATCGTGCAAGCAATTGTACGATACTACTTGATGTGATTGAACCGTGGAATGATATATCTGTATTAGCTCCCAATGAAATGGTTTTGGAAAAAACACAAATAATTGAAACACAATTAGTTGGCTTTGCACCCCGCCAAGTGACACTTATAAATTCATTTTCCCAGGGCTTTTGCCTTAGGTTGTGGAAACGCCCCTAAGACATCTAAACACAATAAATACAGTACTTTAATATCAAAGCACACTATAGTAAATATAATTAAATAAAATTACAATATTTTATGCAGAAAGCAAAAAATCCAAACACCCCCACAGTGACGATTGCCTTAAGGCACTAACATGAGCACTACGTTATCTGAGCGAGAATGGCCCTAGAATGAAGGTCCTTGTGACCTTGTGTCCTTGGCGAGATGTGATGTGACTCTCGGCCTGGACAGGTTTTTTGCTTTCTTTCCCCAAATACAGCTTTTATTTTGGAATAATTTGAGATTTACTAATGAGATTCTTGTACTATATGCCTTGTACGCAGCTTCCTCTAGTGTTAACATTGTTCATAACCATAGTACCATATCAAAACCAAGAAATTGACATTGAAACTACTATTAACTCTTTACAGACTTCCTTCTGGGTCTACCAGCTTTTCCATTAATGTACTCATTCCAGGATCGAACGTCTTTTTTGATCTAGGAGATCTCATTACATTTGGCATAGTGCTTTTTTCACTTACAATGTTTCTCGAAGATCGACTCTTATTGGTTTCTATGCAGCTGCCTCGTTCTCTGGAAGGACTGCAAGCTGAATGCCTAGAAACAGGACCGCAGCATCAATGCTTATATGCTTTTAAAAATTACTACGGCCCCTTACCCCAAGGAAATTCCTAGACCTTCTAACTGGATTCCCTGTGACTTGAGTAGAGCAAGTCCCTTTGACGTCCCAGTACTAGGATTGGCAACCAAATGAAGAGGATGAAGTATTCTATTTTTTTTCACACTTAAGAAGGATATATTTTTTAGTTGAGGCACAAATGCACAGCTTTGCATGGTTTACGTGAGTATTGTACTGTGATCCATATACTTTTATACATTTGGTTTCTCTTAGGCCACTAGGGGCCTCTGACAGAGGCTTTTTAGAATTTTATGATGGACAGGTTTTTTCTTCTTAAATCACTTTATTAGGGGCTCATACAACTCTTATCACAACCCATACATACATCCATTGTGTAAAGCACATTTATACATTCGTTGCCCTCATCATTCTCAAAACATTTGCTCTCCAATTAAGCCCTTGGCATCAGGTCCTTATTTTCTCTCCCTCCCTGCTCCCTCCTCCCTCATGAACTCTTGATAATTTATAAATTATTATTTTGTTATATCTTACACTGTCCGACGTCTCCCTTCACCCACTTTGCTGTTGTCTGTCCCCCAGGGAGGAGGTTGTATGTAGATCCTTGTAATTGGTTCCTCCTTTCCACCCCACCCTCCCTCCACCCTGCTGGTATTGCTACTCTCGGCACTGGTCCTGAAGGGATCATCTGTCCTGGATTCCTTGTGTTTCCAGTTCCTATCTGTACCAGTGTACATCCTCTGGTTTAGCCAGATTTGTAAGGTAGAATTGGGATCATGATAGTGGAGGTTGTGGGGGAGGAAGCATTTAAGAACTAGAGGAAAGTTGTATGTTTCATCGTTGCTACACTGCACCCTGACTGGCTTGTCTCCTCCCTGAGACCCTTCTGTAAGGGGATGTCCAGTTGCCTACAGATGGGTCTTGGGTCCCAAATCTGCACTCCCCCTCATTCACAATGATTTGATTTTTTGTACTTTGATGCCTGATACCTGATCCCTTCGACA